CCCCGAGGGGACCTTGTGGAAGACTGTAAAACATATTGGACAGTAGCCAATCGCAGTGGCTTCAATAATAGCCCTTCCCATCTTGCCCATAATTCCGTCTTCTCTACCTCGGAGATAATTAGGAAGAAACCTAATTATCTCCCAAGGTAGAGACAATCGCCATTTTAACTTACAATAATAAAAATACATTAAAATACATAACTGCAGAAATACCGAATGCATATAGTTCGTGTAACGTATCCCCAGACAGCCTGGATCTGAGTGCATGTTTTCACCGAATAGCGCTCAGATCTGATGTATCTAGTCGAATCGCCATGGAGTCAAAGTCTTTCACCAGTCCTTCGGTATACGAATGACTCCATGGGATGGCTGTCTGGGTGAAAGTCCATACGAATGAATAAAAACTCCCGAACGACCGACGTTCGCATGCCTTGTCGAAATGGAAGGTAGGCAGCAGCTTCCAGCGGTGTTCGGTAGTTTAAGTGTCCGTTTTTAGTTCCATACAGTTTGTACCGAACACCGCTATGTGTTCGTATGTCCCAAAATGGCCGCTGCCTCGTGGTCGACATGCGAACGACGACCACCCGTACGAATGGAATGGAGAGGTGTCTGCGGTTAACCACAACGTTCTAATTGGGGCCAAGAGGTTAACCAGCAGCACACTCCTCTCCTGGGTGGTCGTTCGTTCGGTAGTTTCAATCGGTAGTTTGCAAATTCCACGAACGGGGTTATGTGAACAGGCAATTCAGCGAACAAAGGGAAATAGACGAACCAGCAATACAGACGAATCTGTCACAGGTATGGTATGGGTTTACTTGAAAGATGACATTGTAAGATTAGCATAGGGTATTCTCATAGCTGCATCCTATGAGTTTCCCTTCAGCACCATCTCCAACGCTTAGGAGGTAGGACTGTTTTAGTGTTTTTGGTCAATAAGATTTTGTAATTAGGCCCATCATAATTGTCAGCACCTTGTCTGGCTGCAGGCTGTCTCCTGTCCTCCTGCGCACAGAATGTTGTGTGGAGCATTGCCATGGTAATGCACGGCAACGATCCACACATCCTGCTTGCGGGAGGAGCGATCCGCCTTACAGGTCGGCCTCTCCTGCAACCCTGGGTCCTAGCTACCTCTCTCCCCGATTGAAGGGAGATCTCCCTCACCGGCCTAAGGCCAGAAAACAGGGCCACCTCTCCACTGGCTCGCAGGATCTCCCCTGTCGGCCAGGCATGCTGGGCAGCGCGGTAGGGCCCCCATGCCCAGTGTGCCCATGCGGAAAGATGGCCCTGACAGACACACACACTCACTTCCAGACACACACAAACACTTCCAGACACACACACATACACACTTCCAGACACACACACACACACTTACTGACAGACACACTCACTTCCAGACACATACGAACACACTCACTGACAGACTGATACACAAACACTTACTGACAGGCACAAACTTACTGACAGACACACACTCACTTCCAGACACACACACTCACACTTCCAGACACACACACACACACTGCCCAGCATGCCCATGCGGAAAGACAGCCCTGACAGACACACACACTCACTTCCAGACACACACCCACACTTTTACTGACAGAGACACACACACTTACTGACAGACACACACTCACTTCCAGACACACACACACTTACTTCCAGACACACACACTCACTGACAGACAGATAACATACACTTACTGACAGACACAAACTTACTGACAGACACACACTCACTTCCAGACACACACACTCACACTTCCAGACACACTCACTTCCAGACACACACACACGCACTCACTTCCAGACACACACACTTCCAGACACACACACACACACACTCACTCACTCACTTCCAGACACACACACTCATTTCCAGACACACACACAGATCTCTCTGTCCTGAACTTAAAGAACCGTATTCTTCATTCGTTTGTTTGATTCGTGTTTCCCCGTTCCTGTGGACTCTATGCCGTTCCCTTTCTAAATACCGAATAAAACTACTGAACGGCCAGCCACCCAGTAAAGAAGTGTGCTGCTGGTTAACCTCCTGGCCCCATTAGAACACTGAGGTTAACCGCAGACACCCTTAATTGATACGGTAGTTGGGTGGCCGCCATTCGTATACTGAACACGAGGTCGCAACCATTTTAAACACGCGAACGCACAGCGGTGTTCGACGCCCAACTCATGGAACTCAAAACGGATGCTCTTTGGCACGAACACCGCTGAAGCCGCCAACCTCCCTTCTTGTTCGGTAGAAAGTTCACAAACGGCCCTATATTCGGTAGTTTTAACACGAATACACCATACCCCCTGATAGGCATCCTGTGGAGCCCATTCGTATGAGAACTGACTTTGTGAACACTTTGGCTCCACGGCAATTGGACTGTGTGCATAGGATCTGAGCGCTATTCTGTACTTTGGTGCGCTCAGTAGTGATGTCGCGAACCCGAAATTTTCGGTTCGCGAACGGCGAACGCGAACTTCCGCAAATGTTCGCGAACCGGCGAACCGCCCGAAACGCCATTGACTTCAATGGGGAGGCGAATTTTAAAACACACAGGGACTCTTTCTGGCCACAATAGGGATGGAAAAGTTGTTTCAAGGGGACTAACACCTGGACTGTGGCATGCCGGAGGGGGATCCATGGCAAAACTCACATGGAAAATTACACAGTTGATACAGAGTCTGGTTTTAATCCATAAAGGGCAGAAATCACCTAACATTCCTAAATCACAATCAATATGGATTGACACCTGACATATGACATATTGACACCTTGACATATGGATTGACACCTGTCCTCAGAGCCCCTGATACACACTGACACAGAGCAGAATAGGGACTGTTCCCCCTACATAGGGTCACTTGGCAGATATGGATTGACACCTTGTTACAAACTGCTATTTGTAACGGGCCCTTTAAATGGCAAATTGCCCTGTTTCCCTGGGTTGTGGAGAAGCCTCTTTGCCAGCCTCCTCCCGCATGACTATGGCCCCTGGGAGATTGTGAAAATGTATGCACTTTTATTTGGTGTGTATGGCCCTTTAAGACTGTCGGTGGGCATATTGGGGCTTATGGACTCTTTATGTGACTGGTGCTGGCCCTTTAAACACCTTTTTGGGACATCAGGAAGATTGGGACACTGCCCCTTTAAGGCCGTGTCCCCAGACTTGTTGGGGACACGGCCCCTTTAAGACGGTGTCCCCTGTGTCCCCAGACCTGGTGCAAACCCTTTGTGCCTGCCTTGCTATTTCCCACTTGGTTCAGTAAATGGGAAATTATTTCAGCTGCAGAGACTAAGTCCCATTCGGCGATGGGACTTAGTCTTTTTTTCAGCCGTTTTTTTCAGCCTTATTTCAGCTGCAGAGACTAAGTCCCATTCGCGATGGGACTTAGTCGTTTTTTCAGCCTGAAATAGACCGACCTCACAGCCCAAATCTATGGAACTGTTTTGGGCAGGAAAATGTGCTTGCGGTCGGTCATAAAGGGACCTCCAGCTAACTTTTTAACCCCTGGATGGATTTGGCTGATTTTTGGTTATGTTTATGTTTTAAGTGTGCTGATTCCAAATATGTAATTATGAAGATGGGATGTGTAGTTTTAAAGTTATAGGGTATGGCTAAAAACTGTATTTTTACTGCCTGTGTTTAATTATGTTAATCTCTTCCCAAACGTCATTTCGTTCAAAGTGGAGAGAATGTTAAAAAAAAATATTTTTGTTCTGAGTGTGAGAAATGCTTTTCAGCCGCTCTAATCTTAAGCATCATTTGAGGAGCCATACAGGAGAGAAACCTTATTTGTGGTGTGTTTAGTATTGTTCTGATCAGTTTAATACCTTCCGCGTCTCCTATCAGTGGATCGCAAGTATGAAGTGTTTGCCTTTGCAAACCCACACCTGGGACCCGAAAGGTCACCTCGTTCAACAGGCTTGCAGCGTATCCCTCCAGGAAGAAGAAGCCTGAACCCTTACCGGGCTGCACGGTTCCACCTGTACATGGAAAGCTGCTGTGGTTCCCTTGATGAGCCAGCCGCCCAGAGCTAACATGTCCCGTGGAGTAGCTACCTGTCCCAAAGCCTCACAACAAAAAAGAAAGTGTGTTTAGTATTGTTCTTGATCAGTTTAATACCTTCCGGGCTGCCTCCTATCAGTGGACGCGGTACACGTACTGATTTTGTAACAGGGAGATGGGCAAAGAGGCTTCGTCTGTCCTCTTACTGCAAATTTGGGGCACTGCGCGGTCAAGCTAATGTGCCACCAGATAGGAGTGGTGTGTTTAGTATTGTTCTGATCAGTTTAATACCTTCCGCGTTTCCTATCAGTGGTCGTGTACACGGCATTGATTTTTGTAACAGGGAGATGGAAGAAGAGGCTTGGTCGGTCCTCTTACTGCAAATTTGGGGCACCGCGCGGTCAAGCTAATGCGACACCAGATAGGAGTGGTGTGTTTAGTACTATTTTTATCAGTTTAATACCTTCCGCGTCTCCTATCAGTGGTCGTACACGCAGGTAATTTCTGTACAGGCAGATGGAAGTTAAATATTTTTTTCGGGGTTGGTCCTCCTAACTGGTGAGACTGTGTTGTTGTATCAGTGGCAGGTGGAGCCATTTCTATAAAGTACACACTGCTGGCAAAGCTATTTATAAAGTACACACTGGCGTGCTTGGAACCTGCTATTGGTGGCGGATAAGTCACGCAAGTCAACAGGCATTCAGAGCTAAAATACAGCAGCGTGGACCATTTTAGCCTGGGCGCAGCCTATCTCATCAGGCCTTACATAGGGTCACTTTGGCAGATATGGATTGACACCTTGTCCTAGGGATCCCTGGATACACACTGACACAGAGCAGAATAGGGACTGTTCTCCTACATAGGGCTGTCGCCATGGTAGATAAGTGACTGACACTCCGTCCTCAGAGCTCCCTGCATACACACTGACAGTATCAGGCTTCTGTGGAATGTTACCCCAATATCGGGTCACTTGGCAGATATGGATTGACACCTGTCCTAAGGATCCCTGATACACACTGATACACACCTACTTGGATGGTATAGACATTTTTAGCAGCTCCTGGCCCGAACACCTGACCCACATAGGAGCCGTAATAGACCGGATTAGGGAGTCCGGACTGACCCTAAAGCCCAGTAAGTACCATATAGGAACGTGTAAAAACCTCCCCAAGATAGTAGTATGGGCCCCAGAATGTGAACAGGCCTTCCAACAGCTCAAGACGGCGCTCATTAAATCACCTGTACTTTCTTCTCCTGATCCAACTAAACACTTTCTCGTCCATACAGACGCTTCTATGCTTGGATTGGGAGCAGTACTGAGCTAAGTCGGAGCAGATGGTGGCGAGCAACCCGGGGCTTATCTAAGCCGTAAACTTTTGCACAGCGAAGTATATTCACTGCCATTGAAAAGGAGTGCATGGCGGTGGTGTGTGGGCCCTCAAAAAGCTGCAACCTACTTGTATGGACAACCGTTTACCTTACTCACAGATCACAACAAATTTGGGGCACTGCGCGTGCAATCTAATGTGCCACCAGATAGGAGTGGTGTGTTTAGTACTATTGTTATTAGTTTAATCACTGTTACGTCCCCTATCCGTTGATGTGGAGCAAGACGAAGCAGCAGAAGAGGATGGTTATGGAAGAGGATGGAGTAGGAGGAGTAGAGGAGGTGGCAGCGTACTGGCAGAGTACACGCTGTAGGGCTGACACACCTGCTTGAAGATAACTAACTGCTATTCAATCTATAACAGTGAAAAAAGTTTTTTGTTTTTAAATCCAAGCTATTGTGACACCAGTGAGTGAGTGGTGGCACTGGGCACAGTATCCACTGTGAGCCTGACACCCGCTTTGAGACAACTAACTGCTATTCAATCTATAACTGATGTTTGTTTCACAGGCAGAAAGTGCTCTAAAAGATGGCGGCTTGAACCCAAGTTGGTGGCGGATCAGTCACGCAAGTCAACAGGCATTCAGAGCTAAAATACAGCAGCGTGTGGACCATTTTTAGCCCAAGGCAGCTCATCTCATCAGGCCTTTTTTAAGCTAATGTATCGCCCAGTGTCAGTCCCTTCGGGATCCATCCCTCATTCATCTTAATAAAGGTGAGGTAATCTAGACTTTTGACCTAGGCGACTTCTCTTCTCAGTGACAATACCTCCTGCTGCACTGAAGGTCCTTTCTCTGACAGGACACTTGAAGGGCAGGCCAGAAGTTCTATCGCGAAATTGGGATAGCTCAGGCCAGCTGCGGTCAAGCCTGTACTTTCACCTGTGTAGTCATAAGGTCTATCGCTTCCTCAGAGTGTCGACATTCGCAGTTATATGAGGTAGTCTGGTTACCTGTCGGTCGAAGTCGCTTCCTTCTGAGGGTGGATCCTCGGCGGCTGTGGCGACGCGTAGGGACTTTCTAAAAGGTCCCTCATGCATTTGTCCCCTCCCATCAACAACACGCCTCTAAAGCCGCCCTGTCCTTGCCGCGGTCATGGAGGAGGAGGATGACTTCCACCTCTCCTGTTAGATTCCCCGCGAAGCTGTGACATATCACCCTTATACGCTGTGTAAAGCATACTTTTTAATTTAATTTGCAAATGCTGCATCCTTTCCGACTTGTTGTAATTTGGTAACATTTCAGCCACTTTCTGCTTATACCGGGGGTCTAGTAGCGTGGACACCCAGTACAGGCCGTTCTCCTTCAGCCTTTTTATACGAGGGTCCCTCAACAGGCACGATAGCATGAAAGACCCCATTTGCACAAGGTTGGATGCCGAGCTACTCATTTCCCGTTCCTCCTCCTCACTGATGTCAATTAAGGTATTTTCTTCCCCCCAGCCATGTACAACACCACATAGGTACCAGATAGGTGACAACGAGCACTCTGGGATGCCTGTTGTGGTTGGTCTTCCTCCTCCTCCTCAAAGCCACATTCCTCCTCTGACTCCTCTTCCTCACAATCCTCTTCCAGCGTTGCCGCAGGTCCAGCAAGCGATGCTGATAAGGCTGGTTCTGGTGGTGATGGTGACCACAACTCTTCCTCTTCCTCTTCACGCCATTCTACGGCCCGATCCAGCACTCTTCGCAGGGCACGCTCCAGGAAGAAAACAAATGGTATGATGTCGCTGATGGTGCCTTCGGTGCGACTGACTAAATTTGTCACCTCCTCAAAGGGACGCATGAGCCTACAGGCATTGCGCATGAGCGTCCAGTAACGTGGCAAAAAAATTCCCAGCTCCCCAGAGGCTGTCCTAGCACCCCGGTCATACAAATATTCATTAACGGCTTTTTCTTGTTGGAGCAGGCGGTCGAACATTAGGTGTGTTGAATTCCAACGTGTCGGGCTGTCGCAAATCAAGCGCCTCACTGGCATGTTGTTTCGCTGCTGGATATCGGCAAAGTGAGCCATGGCCGTGTAGGAACGTCTGAAATGGCCACACACCTTCCTGGCCTGCTTCAGGACGTCCTGTAAGCCTGTGTACTTATGCACAAAGCGTTGTACGATCAGATACACACATGTGCCATGCACGTAATAGTGACAACTTGCCCAACTTCAATGTCATGCACAAATTTGTTCCGCTGTCACAAACCAATTTAGCCGATATCCAGTCGCTGCGGAGTCAGCCACTTTCCACCTGTGCGTTCAGGGCGGACAGGAGTGCTTGTCCGGTGTGACTCTCTGCTTTCAAGCAAGTCAAACCCAAGACGGCGTGACACTGCCGTATCCGGGATGTGGAATAGTACCTGGGGAGCTGGGGGGGTGCCGTTGATGTGGGGCAAGACGCAGCAGCAGAAGAGGACTCAGCCGAGGAGGTTATGGAAGAGGATGGAGTAGGAGGAGTAGAGGAGGTGGCAGCAGGACTGCTCCGTAAGTCGCATGCGTGTCACTCAACTCCCTCTGCAGAGCCATGCATTCCATGCTTCAAGTAGCAGTCAGCAGGTTTACCCAATGCGCAGTGTAGGTGATATACCTGCCCTGACCATGCTTTGCAGACCAGGTATCAGTGGTCAGATGGACCCTTGCCCCAACACTGTGTGCCAGAGATGCTATTACTTCCTTTTGCACAATTGAGTACAGGTTAGGGATTGCCTTTTGCGAAAAGTAATTTCGGCCGGGTACCTTCCACTGCGGTGTCCCAATAGCTACAAATTTTTTGAACGCCTCAGACTCCACCAGCTTGTATGGTAAAAGCTGGCGGGCTAATAGTTCGGACAAGCCAGCAGTCAGACGCTGAGCAAGGGGGTGACTTTCTGACATTGTCTTCTTATGCTCAAACATGTCCTTGACAGACACATGACTGTGGGAAGATGAGCGTGAACTGCTCAAGGCGGGAGGCGGAGTGGCGGATGGTTGAGAGGGGACAAGGAGGACAGCAGTGGTTGATGTGGCTGAAGATGCTGGACCAGGAGGAGGCTGGCGGCTTGCGGTAGAGCCGAGCTGCTTCAGCGCTACTCATGTGTGTGTTGATCCCGCGTCTGTGATGTCGGATCATGTGCCTGCACGCAAAGCAGTTGTACCTAGGTGGGTGTTGGACTTCCCACGACTCAGTTTCTTTTGGCACAGGTTGGAAATGGCATCGCTGTTGTCAGAGGCAGACACACAAAAAAAATTCCACACTGCTGAGCTCTGCAATGACGACATTCTGGTGGTGGACACAGCATGCGTTGATTGGCGTGCTGTCGGGCTGACCCCGGGTGTCGATGCATGCTGTCTGACTGTGCCACTAGCTCCTTGCGACGACCTCCCCCTGCTTCCAACTCGTCTCCTCCTCCTCCCTGTCTCCCCATCTGAACTTTCGCCCTGTTCTTCTTCTTGACGAGCGGGCACCCACGTGACATCCATGGACGCATCGTCATCATCAACCGCTTCACTTGTATCTGACAACACAGCAGAGGAAGCAGCAGCGGGTACAACATCATCATCATCATCACACCGTACGTCCATGTGTGTAATGCTGCCTGCCTGAGACATATCCCTGTTATCTACATCCTCTGGCAATAATGGTTGCGCATCACTCATTTCTTCAAACGGATGTGTGAATAACTCCTCTGACATACCAACTGAAGCGGCTGTGGTGCTAGTTTTGGTGGTGGCGCAGGCGGGTGAGTGGTATCTGAGAGGTGCCTGAAGCTAAGCTGGTGAGGATGGTGCGTCAAGGTTCTGAGCGGAGGCTGTAGAAGATTGCGTGTCCTGTGTTAGCCAGTCAACTATGTCCTCAGAACTTTTCAAGTTCAGGGTGCGTGGCCTCTGAAAACTGGGCATTATTCTAGGGCCAAAGGGAATCACAGCACCACGACCACGATGGCCCCTGCGGGGTGGCCTGCCTCTGCCTGTCATTTTTGTTGGGATTGGTGGTACTATGCGTGCAAGCTACTGTGAGACCAGATATGAGTGGCAATGTGCACTGGCACAGTTGTGCAGAGCACAGGCTGTAGGCCTGACACCCGCTTGAAGATAACTAACTGCTATTCAATCTAT